CATAATTGCGAGTAATTCTGATTACAGCATTTGCTGTCCGAAGAATGGATGATATGATGTAAACATCCTGTTTTGCATGGTGTAAGGTGAAACTCCGCCGTTACCTGCCAAGCCAGGATTAGGAAAGAGGGTGGCCGAAGACCATGGCGAAGACTGGACAAATGAAGAGCGACTGTCATTCAGCCGACTTGTAACCAGTGCTTTTTCAAATCTTAGTTCGCTTGCAAGACATTGAAGGACGTGTCAGTCCTAAAGTGTCAATTCTTCATGAACTATCTGCATACCACAGGGACTACAACAGCAGCAGGAGAAAGTGAATGCCATCATAACTCGACCGCCTTTTGAGCCTGCAATTATGTAAATAGGCTGATCCAAGCTACAGTAACGAATCGTGATATTGATTTCGGTGTTTATCATGAATGATATCTACTTCGTCAAACAACTATTTGCTCAGTGTCACTACGCCGTTGGCAACAATCATGGAATTAATGAGTGTGACACTCTTACGCTGAAACAGTGCAGCTGTTGACTCCAACTTTAGAGAAATGAGGCACTCCTGGTTGATGGCATCGAAATGGAGAACAGCGCCCCGTCATTAATTGCATGAAAAGTAGGGCATCAGAATGACCCAATCAGGAAAGTGTAAGGAAGAACAAAACCATAACTGTTACAAACTATCCGTTCCTTCCATTTTCCTCGAGTCTAAGAGGAGACTACTGTATGCCTTGTTCATTGTGCAACAACATCTTCGTTTTGTTTTGTTACTTGTTCGATTCTGTCCAATTTCGGTCTCAATACTTAGCTGTCGCATTTCTGCTACCTATCAGTTACCAGTTTTTGTTGTCATTATTGAATTACTGTATATCTTGTCCATTTGTCTGCGTGCTAAGAAACGGACATTTGCGTGGTTCTATTTAAACAAGGACAAATCAAAGCAGAATCGATTTCTCCGGCAACCGCAAGTCAAAAGTTCACCATTGTGTTGAGGTAATTGAACAAGTCACCAGCTTGATCAAAAACTGATTGGCTAAGCATAGATACGATATTAATCAAAAGAATTCAACGGATAATTGTTTGGCCATGGCGAAAGTGGATTTCGTTGCCAGCGTGGAATCGTCATCGTTCTTTTTTGATGAGAGTGCCGCATCTAGGCGACTGAATGCACGAGATTTAGTAGCTTTCAACTTCAGAAGCGAAGGAATGGGCATTCATCGCCCCAGCTGTGCCAGCGTGCATGAAGATATCATCTTCGGATGAAGTTCAACGCTCAGAGCGTAGTATCGGAAACGGAGGATTTTTTGATTTCGATATAATCAAGCTAATTTAATAAATCAATGCGAAACCAATAAAAATTCTTTACTACTGACTAACTCGATGACGATGGTTGGATGGTTGGATGGTTAGATGGTTGGATGCCTCGTCGCCGTCGGTGCGCTGCGCCGCCGAATAGTTGTTTTGTTCGACATCGGATTACGATGAGTAAGCATAATTATACCTCTGGCTCGGTCGATAAACCAAGTATTTGCCGCCGCGGACCCGTTCCAGAGGCACTGCGATGCGCGTTGCTGCGTCGGTAAATACCGGCCAAAAACTTCGAACGAAGTTTCGTTTCGCCGTCGACCAGCGACGTCACGAACCGAACACATCTTCGACTTCGAGTGAGGTTAAAACACAGCTCGAGTGAAAACGCACTTGCGAATCAAGCCTCACGCAAAATGCGATGCGATCTGTACGACTGCAGAAGAAAGACGTAAATCAGGGCAACACCTGGTATCAATTACTTTACCATACTCGATGGTCAGCTATCGGATGAGTCAACACGACACGCAACCACAAACGGCGCTCGCATCGGACAGCATGACCGTCGTTTTGTCCATTCGGATGTGGCCAGACCAGAACAGCACGCTATCACTGCTATTTGCAAGTTATCGAGTTAGTACTAGTTTTTCATCTGGTTGCGTGGAAACAGCGTGAGATCAATTCCTTCCTCGAGGGAATTCGCGGTTATTTGACCTCCGGAGTTCAAACCCGGCATCTTTGCCACTGTGCCACCACGCGTCGCACTCATACGAGGCTCGTGTCAGACGGTCAAATCTAATTCCAAAAGATGCTTATTGCAGCGTCTCTACGACTTCACTGCTCGGAACAAAAACATGAACCTCAGCAGCTCGTCTTATATGTTTAAGCATTTTAAAAGCTAACATTTTGTACCGTCTAGTCAGCCATCAAGTAGATCAAAGGAAGTTGCAGCGTTAGGTGCATGCGTCAGACAGCAGGACTTTTAGTCTCGCGCGCTTTGGCTCATCGACTTGTTACTCGTTTTTGAACAGGTTGCACCGCAGCGCAGTGGACTCTAAATTCCTTGCTCAAAGGAGTTAGCAATGAGGAAAGGAGACGTTAATCCGCGCTTGAGGTTTTAATCCAGCTCATATACAGCCGAAAGCAATCCACTGCGCCACCGCCCCTACCCTGCATCTCTCCGCCGGTTTCTTCTGGTTCGGCCACTTCCGCCTGCTCGTGTACATGCCCAACATAAATCCGTCCACATCACCGAAACGTATCAGTACCACTGTAAGTTAAAACGAATTGCCGAAATATTCACCAGAGGCTGGTCCAATTGGAATAAGGAATAAGCAGCCTTGACAGCGGTAGCCAGCCACATCTAGCATAAAACTGAAATATTTCTACTAGGTCAAACCAACTTTAAAAGACTCTGCTGAAATTACGTGTGTAAATCTCAAGAGAAGACGGCAACGAAGAACGTCTATCGATCACAAAAACAAAACATTTCTTCATAAAAGTAATTATTTCATCAGAAAGGAAATGTAGAATTTTATCGTTCAGGATTTCCGTCTTGCGTACGCTTAAATGTTTGGCGAAAATCATAGCGGCACCTTTTTGCAGATATCCATTAACCAGCCTAGCAGCAAAAAGTGCCATATTTGTGTTCGCAGACAATGTTAAGGCTCGGTTGCCATAACAGTTTGCAATCTCATGCTTCCTTCCCATGTCGTGGTGTTCATTGATTTACCACAAATGGGATAAGCGGTAAGCGAAAGGGAAGGATTCGAATTTGCCGTCTTTCTACAACCAGTGTCAAACTCCGCCGACTGACCGAATTTCCATGGCACCACTACTTGTCTTGTCGTTCAGTACAGGATTACTCCGACGTACTCTTTTGCTGATACTCATATTTGTTCATTAGTCAAATATACGTATGGCTTCCTGCTGTGAAACTTGTTTCCAATCATGCCTTATTACAGCGAATATTGTTGTTCCATTGTTCATTGTGTTTAGCGCTTGTGCCTGGCTTTTCTCAGTTACACAATGTTTGAAATGGTGCTGCAAGCAAGCAAATGCAGTCCTGAGTTCAGGAAACACAGAATGATAGTGAAATGAAAATTGGCAACTTTATCTGTTGAAGGGGGGATCTCAGCGAATACTCAAGTGACACCATAATGGTGAGGGGATTTAGAAATTTGCGATTGAGATTAGCTTGCGTTTCATCCATTCTGTGAATGGTTAAACTCATTAAATAACAACGCAACCAAATTTGTCAGTGTTTTGCTTTCATCACACTTTACTGCCTGCAGCTATAATTCACCCAATTTTTCGGTTGAGCCAGACGTTCATCCATTCAATAAGTCGTTATTTACTAAAGAGCAGCATTCTCGTATCTGACAATCATGTCCTA